AGAGAGGCTCTAGAGCAGACTTGTATAGAGGGCTTAGGGGCTGGAGGCCAGGCTCCTCTTCTTGAGGCCACCTGTGTGATCCACAGGGCCCAGCACAGCAGGGGATCGGGGAGCCCCTGGTTACAACATTATTAAGGATTCAAAGACAGAGACATCAGAGCCTTAAACTCAAGGCCTTGGAGCTTGGCTTGGAGTCTCTGCCCTTGTGGCTCGTGCCCAGCATCCAGCCTCATTACTGTTCTTTGTTCTTCAGCAATTGATGAGGCTTCCTTTTGTGAATGAGGCCCAAAGCCGACACCAGGTAGGAGTTCTCATCATGGTGGGATGCTGATGCTGCAGGTGCCTGTTCACGGAGAGGGTGGAGACTGAGGGGTGCACATCGCCTGCCCTGAGCCAGCCAGCCAGGGCATGGCCAGGCCCTGTCTCCTTCCCTCGACTTAGAACTCGGCACTCAGGGACTGACTGTTTGTTTGTTTACTTTTCATTTTATTTGAAAGGGAGAGACAGAGAGAGAGCGAGGGAGGGAGGGAGACATGGAGAGAGATCTTCCATCCACAAGTTCACTCTTCAAATGCTTACAACAGCCAGGGCTGGGCCAGTTCAAAGATGGGAGCCCAGAACTCAATGATCCAGGTGGCAAGGACCTGAGTACACAAGCTGTCACCTCCTGCCTCCCAGGGTGCGTGTTAGCAGGAAGCTGGAACTGCACCTCCTGCCTCCCAGGGTGCACGTTAGCAGGAAGCTGGAATTGAGGTGGAGCAGGGACTGAAACCCAGGCATTCTGATACGGGATGCAGGCATCCCAAGTGGTGTCTGAACCGCCATGCCACACGCCCTCCACCCTTGTCCTCTGTGATACAGTTTTTATCATAGTAAGAAGTGCCTGCTCATATATTCAGTGGATAATGTCAAGCTTTGTGTTTTTTCTGAAATATCGATAACAGAAGGTTCAGCTGAGATGCATATTATTTGTTGAATACTCATGGGTAGGAGAATGTACTTTGTGTTCCACGACTTCTGATATCTTTTGGACAATTTTCTGCCTATAGTGTGAAGACTCGTGTCCCTTTTGCCTGAGATTCTAGTCTCTGTAAGTCCATCTTTAACTGGGCACTGGAGGTGAGGCAGACCCTGAGGGCCAGTGCTGACACCACCTGCCCTCTGCCTGCACTGATTCCTGGCCTGAGTGCCTGTGTGCAGGCTTCGTCTGGGCCCTGCTCTGAGCAGAGATGATGGCAACCAAGGTCCCAGGCAAGGCCTGGAGGGGTGAAGAGATTCCTCCCTCTTGTGAAAGGACCTTGTGGTATCCCAGATTCAGTCTGAGGTCACCGCTGCCAGGCAGGGTGGCCTGCATAGGACGTGGCAGCCTGGGTTGCAGCCTAGCCCTGCAACCCCCACTCCCCACCATGTGACCTTGGACAGCCGACAGGGCCACCTGGGCTGCACGTGTGCCCTTCATGCTGTGGGCACACTGGGAGCTCATGGGAGCACTGTGCTGAGGGTCAGATTAGAGAGTTCCTGATGTCCCTGTAGATGATGTTTGCACTGGCACTCGTGTGCCTGGGGCTCGGTACTGGAATGCAGCAGGCAATCAGGAGCGCTTCCTCCCACAGGCAGAGGCAAATGTGGCCACAGAAGCACCTGTCTGCACAGATGATAACGGGCGCAGGGGATGGGCCGAACCTGAGACAGCCGGTTTCACCGCCGCTGACTCCTGCTCTCTTGCTGTTTCAGGGAGGGACTGTTGAGGCAGGGGCACGGGCAGGGGATTGTCTGTTTCTGACAAAAATCACTTCTCACAGACTCAGTGATTGACTTTAGACTTACCTGTAGTGGATGAAGGCCGTCAAAGTACAAATTACTTTTTTCGGCACCCTGGAAAGCACAATGATCATTTTTTGACCACCAGAGAGAACGAATCTGTGATACCAGGCATAAGGACCTGTTTAAGAGACAATGAGTTCCTCATCTTTGGTTGGGGGTGGGCTGGGGTGCCAGTCCCTTGCAGGCCAAGGGAGGCTGCTAAGGGTGGAGGGGGCAGGTGGGATGAGCACAGCTGCCCTGGCTCCTTTGTGGAGAAGCCCCTGCAGCTTATCAGAGGCTGACGTCAGACCCCTGCAGAGAGAGGGCAGCCTCAGTCCCAGGAGCTACCAAGGGGCAGCTTGGTGGAGGGAGAAAGAGCATGGGTTCCAGAGCTGACAGCCTTGTGTTTTGAGTCTGAGCAATGATTTATCAGGGCCTAAGATGGGCAGGCTGTCCCACCTGTCAGGAAGAGTTTTCCCTCTTCGTAAAATAAGACAAGTGCTGGTTCTGACCAGGTGGCAGTCGGTCCTGCACTGTGTTACTCTGTGCCATCATCTTGTGAATGGATCCAAGATGCCAGCTCCCGGTCATCATCACAGGTGTGGTGGAGCTGGTCCTGGATCCTGTGCAGGCTGCCCTGGCACAAGGTGTTTGCAGAAGCTGAAGGCTCTGTGAAAGCCAAGGAATTCCGGTCAGCAAATGCTGGAAAAGCCTCTGCTTCCCCTTCTGCCACCACATCTCTGCTAGGCCCCACCTGGAGTTCCCCGGCCTGGGCCAGAGTCCCTGTGGCACAAGATGCTGGCGGTGGTATTCCCAGGCAGGTTTGCTCATCTGCTAAGACCCCAAGTGCCTGCCTTGTGACCCTGGGGTCACTGCTGTTCCCCCGAGGTGATTACAAACAGCAGTGGGGCAGCCGTGTGGAAGGGCTTTACGCCTCACTTGGGGTCTGATTTTCCTTCTCTGCCTTCCAGTTTCATAACTGGTGTTCCGGTGAGAGCCAGGCTCTGCCTGCTGGCATATCTTGGACACCCGTCATGGGTACTCTGCTGGTGTCTCGTTGCTTTGTAAGAAATCACCAACTTCCCAGTTTAGAGCAATACAGATTGATTTCCTCACTGTCTGTGAAATCAGGGCGTCCAGTGCAGTCCTATGCCCAGGCTGTGTCCACATCTCAGGCTTGTCCAGGGGAGGTCTGTGTCCATACCCCTCATGGTATCCTCAGCCATTTCCCGGAGGTGGCCCCCTCAGGTGCCCGTACCCTGCTGGCCCCCAGCCCCTCCCTCAGGTCCCCATACCCTGCTGGCCCCCAGCCCCTCCCTCAGGTCCCTGTTCCCCTGCTGGCCCCCAGCCCCTCCCTCAGGTCCCCATACCCTGCTGGCCCCCAGCCCCTCCCTCAGGTCCCCGTACCCTCCTGGCCCCCAGCCCCTCCCTCAGGTCCCCGTACCCTTCTGGCCCCCAGCCCCTCCCTCAGGTCCCCGTACCCTCCTGGCCCCCAGCCCCTCCCTCAGGTCCCTGTTCCCCTGCTGGCCCCCAGCCCTCCCTCAGGTCCCCGTACCCTGCTGGCCCCCAGCCCCTCCTCAGGTCCCGTACCCTCCTGGCCCCCAGCCCCTCCCTCAGGTCCCCGTACCCTTCTGGCCCCCAGCCCCTCCCTCAGGTCCCCGTACCCTCCTGGCCCCCAGCCCCTCCCTCAGGTCCCCATTCCCCTCCTGGCCCCCAGCCCCTCCCTCAGGTCCCCATACCCTGCTCACCCCCAGCCCCTCCCTCAGGTCCCCGTACCCTCCTGGCCCCCAGCCCCTCCCTCAGGTCCCCATACCCTCCTGGCCCCCAGTCCCTCCCTCAGGTCCCTGTACCCTCCTGGCCCCCAGCCCCTCCCTCAGGTCCCCGTACCCTCCTGGCCCACAGCCCCTCTCTCAGGTCCCTGTTCACCCCTCCTGGCCCCCAGTCCCTCCCTCAGGTCCCTGTTCACCCCTCCTGGCCCCCAGTCCCTCCCTCAGGTCCCTGTTCACACCTGCTGGCCCCCAGCCCCTCCCTCAGGTCCCTGTTCACCCCTCCTGGCCCCCAGCCCCTCCCTCAGGTCCCTGTTCACCCCTCCTGGCCCCCAGCCCCTCTCTCAGGTCCCTGTTCACCCCTCCTGGCCCCCAGCCCCTCTCTCAGGTCCCTGTTCACCCCTCCTGGCCCCCAGCCCCTCCCTCAGGTCCCTGTACCCTCCTGGCCCACAGCCCCTCTCTCAGGTCCCTGTTCACCCCTCCTGGCCCCCAGCCCCTCCCTCAGGTCCCTGTTCACCCCTCCTGGCCCCCAGTCCCTCCCTCAGGTCCCTGTTCACACCTGCTGGCCCCCAGCCCCTCCCTCAGGTCCCTGTTCACCCCTCCTGGCCCCCAGCCCCTCCCTCAGGTCCCTGTTCACCCCTCCTTTCCCCCAGCCCCTCTCTCAGGTCCCTGTTCACCCCTCCTGGCCCCCAGCCCCTCCCTCAGGTCCCTGTGCTGCTGGCTTGAGTTCCTAGGGGTCACCCCTCCAGGAGGGGTCTCACCCCCTTTATGGGCTCACTTGACCATGTCTATCCCATCTAGAGCAATCTCCATTTTGATGAGCTTGGTCAGCTGGTTGGGGACCTCTATTAAGTCTACAGGAACCATTCATTTGTGTTCTGTCATGTGGCTTGGTCATCATGTTCACACTCAGGTCATCTTGGGGTTGTTTTGGGGTTGCTTGGAGTCTTGGGGTTATTTCAGAGTTCGGTCTCCCCCAGCAGCTGCTGAGTTACAACTGACAAGGAAGTGGGCTGGGTGGAAAAGTCGTGGTCTTGGGGGGCACAGGTGACCCACACTCTGGGCCTCTTGCCAATGACCCCAGCCTTCTTCCTGCATTGACAGCCTGTGGGCCCTTGGGGTGCTGTGTGCTGTAAGGGGCCACACCAGGTCCAGCTGTAGCTTTGTGAGGTGGCCTTGGGGTGCCAGCAGGAGTGCAGCCTGCAGAGGGCGGGGGAGGCAACCTGTGTGTAGTGTCAGGACAGTGGCAATACCTTGCTTTGCGTGGTTTCAGAGAAAGCAGGGCACACCAAGCTGTGAACTTCCCACCTCACAATGGGGATGGCGGCCACCACCTTTGTGGGAAGAAAATCGTCAGTGGGCTGATCTGAAACCCCATGAGAAGTTCAAAACTACCTGCTAACCCCAGGGTTCTTTTGTGTGTGTGTCTAGATTTCCAGTGGGTTGAAGGGGACGTATGTGAAGTCCAGCTGATGGTGTACAACCCCATGCTGTTTGAGCTTCGAGTGCAGAACATGGTATGTACCACCGCAGGGGCCTCTGTGACCGAGAACCCCAGCATGTCACTAAAATGCATCTTTGCTTACTGTTAGAGGCACTAATTCTGGCACACATGTCTGCTTTGCCCAAGATAGTAAGTGTTTGGTGAGTGAAGTCCATGTTTTGTCATTACCGTGTCTCATGCTTGCTGCCGAGTAGACAGCACAGAGCAACCTTGGGCTTGTACACGCACAGAGCTTTGCCCATTGGCTGTGAGATTGGAAGTCAGCACTTTGGAGTTCACAGGGGCTTACTGGAGATTGTTGTGCTGCTGTGAGGTGACACAGGGATTGAGGCGCAGGGGGAGCTGTAGAGAGAGGTGCTGTGTTAATGCACCATGTAGGGTGTGGAAGATTCATGCCCTGGGTCCATGCTTGTTTGGGGGACTTGTGCTGCCTTCAGACTACCATGGGATCCGTTCCCAAGGTTCTCTGTACTGCGACCAGTTTCATAACTGGTGTTCCAGGTGAGAACCAGGCTCTTCCTGCTGGTGTCTCACTGAGGGCCATGCCCTGTGCCAGGTACAGGGTGCGTGGGACCCGGGGGATACAAAGGCCTATAGGCCTTATCCCTGGTGTGAACACAATGAGCTGTGTTGGGGATGCATGGCGCCTGCCTGGGAGAGACGTCCCTGCTGGCTGGGCCAGACTGCCTGGTGGAGCCACAGTTTTCCGCAAGCCAGGACTGTTGGGCAGCCCTGCTGCATGTGACTGCTCCCCAAGCCTGTGTTAAGCCAGCAGTCCTGAGACTGACTGAGCACCGGTGTTCCCCCAACTGTTGCACAAGGGTTCACTGGCCTCAGGACATGGCCATGGTCAGCCTCTGCTGTGGCTGTCTGGCTCTTGGAATCCAAGGGGGGAATTTACCACAAAGTAGTTAAAGTGTCAGATGATTGCTGCTGTTTCTTATACATTTTTTCATTTTTAAAAGTAGCATTTTTACCTGGTTTAAAAGTAATAAATTACATATTTTAATAAATGAGGAAGGGTAGAGACTTAGACAAGAGAAAACCACCACTTGGATATAGCCAGCATACCATGGTGCTGTGTTGAAAGCTGACTCATGGAACACTTCAGACGTGCACAAGCCACTGGCATTTCAGGCAGGCAGCGGTGGCCACACCGCCCTGGTTGTTCTATGAAGACAGAGAGGCCAGTGTGTCTATTAGAGATGAAAGGCATGCGATCAGCTTCACTGAGTGCATCCTGCCCACTGCACCCCCTCCACACGCACACACGCAGATCACTTCATGCCTTTGCCTCACATGTGGGCGGCAGGCGTGCTCACTGCCCCCAGAGTGTCTCTGCTGCCGGCGTCTCCTGTGCACAGAGTTAGATACAGTGTATGTGCATTCCACACACCCAGCTGTCTACACCACACACACATCTGTGCATGCAGGTTTCATACACCCTGAACTCACACCGAGGCCCGGCATCTTGCCTTCCTGCGTTCCATGTTTGCACCCTTCCTCTCAGCACACCCACTTACATGCCTTGTCCTGCCACAGATAAAAGAGGTGTTTTTTTTTTTTCTTTAAAAATTATTTATTTATTTATTTATTTGAAAGTTGAGTCACAGAGTCCATTTGCTGGTTCACTCCCCAAGTGTCCGCCCAAGCCAGGGCTGAGCCAGGCTTGAAGACAGGAGTTCTGTCTGGATCTCCCACATGGGTGGCAGAGGCCCAAACACTTGGGCCATCTTCTACTGTATTCTCAGGCACATGGGCAGGCAGCTGGATTGGAAGTGGAGCAGCCAGGATGCAAACCAGCAGCTATATGGGATGCTGGTGTTGTAGGCAGCGGCTTTACCTGCTACGCCCCAATGCCGGCCCTGGATCTGAGAGTTTGAGGGTTGCCTTGACTGCAAACTGTGGAAAGCGGAACCCCACAAACAGGGCAGGACTCTCTGTGTCTTGAGTTCTTTAATTTATCTCAGCAGGTTTCTGTAGCTGTGATGAGATCTTGCACATTATTCGTTAGATTTACTCCAAGATAGTTGGAATTTTTGGTGTCTTGTTACTTTTTTTAAACATTTTATTTTCTAATAGTTGACTGGTGATTGTTGACATCTTTTAGATTGTGGGAGACCAGGAGGAAGCTTCTGGATCCTGGCTTTGGCCTGGCCCAGCCCCGGCCATTGCAGCCATTAGTGGAGTAAAACAGTAGATCTCTCTGTCTCTGTTTCCCTCTTGTTTTCAAATAAATATAAGTGTTTCAAAAAAGAAAAACAAAAATTTTCCTTTGTGTTCATATTCCCATTTGGTGCAAGAAGAAAGCAAAGCAAACATCAGAAACATGGCGGAGAGGACCAAAATCAAGGGCAGCGGCTGTTGATCTGACTGCCTCGTGCGTCACGTGTGCATGGTCTCTGCAGTTCTCTGTGGGTTCTAAGAAGCCGCAGCCTTCCACTGCCTTGTTCCAGGCTGCCAGGTGTGCGGTGCAGGCTGGTCCTGCTCATGTTGCTCTGTGCCTTGCTGCAGGGACTGCTGACCAGTGGAGTGGAATTCGAGTCGCGCCCTGCAGCGCTCTCCCTTCCGGCCGAGTCTGGTCTGTACCTGGTGACGCTCGTAGGGGTCCCACAGACGACTGGAATGATCACCGTGAACGGTAAGGGCTTTTCTGATTGCTGCTGTTGAGGGGCTGCCACACTGCTGTTCCGTACACCAGGGTCCAGAGCCTCTCACCCATCTCGTTAGTCCTCGTCCATCAAGGGATGGGGAAAGACTGCCTTTCCTTGGGATGTGGTGCAAGTTGTTGGAGTGTGATTGGCACCTGCCAGGCTCCTGCTGCGGTGGGCGGGGCCCCTTCCTGTGCTCTGTCTGCCTCCTCCTCCAGACAGTCTTCCAACAGCTTGGTTCCTACCTCTGCATCCTGACCTTTCCTGATGCCACGATGTCCCATGTGCTCTCAGGAAGCCCCTGTCTTCTGCTGTATCTCTTGGGAGAGTTGGCTGTGCACACTGAGTCGCTTCTGCCACCAGTGCCATGTTCCTGCACCCTTCCACATCCTGAGTTTAACCCTTATCCCTTCACCAGGACACCTGTCTGTGGCATCACTAGTGGCGTTTTTCTGCCTAAACCTGGGACCAGTGGTTTGGTTTGCTTGGAGCTTTAGTGCTCATTTGCCACCCTGCATGTGTGGCGAGCTGTGTCCTCCAGCCTTGGTTACACCACACCCTCCAGATTTTCCGCGGTCTCTTTGGCCCTTCTTCCTCAGTTTTGCTGGTCTCATGCAGGTGTCCCCTTGCAGCCCAGCCCTCTGACAGGTGCTCCTCGCTCTGTGTTTCTTGTCCTCCTCTCTGTCCTCTGTACGTCACCACTGGTGAGGGTGTCCCCAGCCCCACAGTGCTTTTCTGCCTCACAGCCCTGCAGACTGCTGACCACTCCTGGGGTCAGGTGCCCTTCCCTGGCCTGTGCCCCAGCACTTCCCAGCTATCCCCCTGGTGTCCAGCGGGTGGGACATGCGTGTTCAACACGTCCAACCCAAGTGTACTGCCTCCCCTCCCCAAAGCAGTCTCTCCTCTGAGACCCCTCTCTCTCCTCTAAAAGGCGTCGTGGTCAACCAGTGGGAGTCACTTTCCCTCGTCATCAGGCCGAGTTCCCCAGCCCTGTGTGGTCCATCTCTGTGCTCCTCTGCCGAGTCTTCCTGCTGGGTTACATATTGTTCCTCTACCTTTGCTGTCTTGCAAGTGCCCTATCCTTTTCCACTTCCTCCACTACCTGTGTGGACTTAGTGGTCCCTGAGCTGTGCATCTCTTTGCAGAGCAGTTGGCATTGTTCTTTGGTGTGTCTTGTGCACAAAGCTAGACGGCTGACCCTGTACTGCTGTGCACAGTAATTGTGGACCCCAAGTCTTTGTCATCAGACTATTACGTGACAGCCATTTTCAGCAATGGTAAGGAAAGGCCTGATTCTCATTAGGGATTATAAAATAGTGGTTGCTCAGCAGGCGAAACATATATCAGGTTCCTGTTGAAAGGGAAATGCGAGAGACCCTGGTTCCAGGTATGGATTTGTGGGGAGAATAGTGTTTTGCCCATTGCAGGGGGTGTTTTGACAAGCCCACCTTCTGAGGGAGGGTGAGCTGGAATGGTGTTGAGAGCGCAACTCCCAGCCAGCAGGAACCTCACGAGGACCGAGGAGGCTGCTGGGGCCCCGGGAGCCCTTGAAAGCCATGCTGGCTTCTCCACTGAGCACACCCCAGGCTCACACGAGTGTAGGCAGGTTGTCACCTGAGCCTCGAGCCACTGGGTATGGTTTCATTTTGTTGCACAGTAAATGCTGTTGACAATAATTAGCTAAATTTCAAAAGCCGTTCTACAGCTTTGCTTAAAAGTTTCAAGTGCTTATCTCACCAGTGGGAAATTTGCTCATCTTAAACGGCAGTGCTCACACACACACAGCCAGTTCGCCCCATCACAAAGCTGCTGCAATAATAATAATTGGCTCTTGAACTTTCGTCTCTCAACAGAAGGTTCTGAAGCATTTTTCAAATACTCATTAAATTACATTATGTCCCGGGAAGGAATATTAACTGCCATCCTCACTGTGGAGATGGATAAATCTGAAAAGCAAGTGAGTCCCGGGCTGAGATGCTGACTACGGGTTGTGCAGAGATTGATGGCTCACAGGAGCTTTCCCATTTGGGCCCAGTCAGCCTGGTGGGATGGGAGTACAGGTGCTGTTGTAACCCCCACCACAAAGGAGGAGCCCGAGGGATGTTGAGGCTGTGGGCAGGGACTGGCAGGTAACGGAGCCAGCACCAGGACCCAGGTCTTCTGCAGGGTTGCCCTTGCTGGTTGGGGACTTCAGCAGTGGATAGGAAGGTGGACACGGGGCATGGAGCTTTGCTGGGAGTTATGACGTCTCTGTTTTCCTGTGTCCCAGGTTACCACACCACCGTCTTTGGTGTTGTCAGTGACTGCCTGCTGGACCAACTCCCGGGAATAAAGACCAGCAGCTCTACCATGGAAGTCATCCCCACTTTGCCAAGACTGCAAATCAGCACCTCCCTGCCCAGGTACCCGGTGAGCACAGGTGTCCAGCCATGGGCAGGAAGCAGCCCTGGGGAGCCTTCCCTCATGAGGCGCGCAGGCTCTGCATACCTCCAGAATTTGCAGGCCCAGAATCTGCAGGAGGGGGCCTTGAGAGTCCACAGCAGTTCATCCGTTTTGCCCAGAGCAAATTAAAGCAGTCAAGATGTCCCATACTAAGGCTAGGACCAAATGTGAAATTATTCTTCCCAAAAACAGTCAGGATCTTAGGGCATCTAAAAAAATCACTCTTCTCTTTGACAGAATTCTTTTATTTTAGTTTTTAAAGAAATATTCATTTATTTTGAAAGCGTCACAAAGAGAGGGAGAGACACACAGAGTGAGTGAGAGCTCTTCCATCCTTTGGTTCACTCTCCAGATGGCCGCAACGGGGAGCGTTGGGCCAGGCTGAAGCCAGGAACCAGGAGCTTCATCCGGGTCTCCCATGTGGGCGTGGGATCCAAACACATGGGCTACTTTTCGCAGGCCATTAGCCAGGAGCTTGATTGGAGAAGAGCAGACAGAACCCGAACTGGCACCCACATGGGATTGTTTAATTTTTGTTTTAGATTTTCAGTATCACAGGGAAGCATAAAGGAGAAAGCAGCTGTCTGCTAACAGGCCTGGGAAAGCAGAGGGAGACGGCCCAAGGACTTAGGCCCCTAAAGCCAGAATGGAGCGCCGGGTAAATTCCCTGGCTTCTGCTTCAGCCCCTGGCTTCTGTCCCAGTCCCGGCCTTTGTAGCCACCTCAGGGGTGACCCCCAGATGGACGATCACTCAGAGAGAGAGAGCGCTAATTCTGGCACACATGTCTGCTTTGCCCAAGATAGTAAGCGTTTGGTGAGTGAAGTCCATGTTTTGTCATTACCGTGTCTCATGCTTGCTGCCGAGTGGACAGCACAGAGCAACCTTGGGCTTGTTCACGCACAGAGCTTTGCCCATTGGCTGTGAGATTGGAAGTCAGCACTTTGGAGTTCACAGGGGCTTACTGGAGATTGTTGTGCTGCTGTGAGGTGACACAGGGATTGAGGCGCAGGGGGAGCTGTAGAGAGAGGTGCTGTGTTACTGCACCATGTAGGGTGTGGAAGATTCACGCCCTGGGTCCATGCTTGTTTGGGGGACTTGTGCTGCCTTCAGACTACCATGGGATCCGTTCCCAAGGTTCTCTGTACTGCGACCAGTTTCATAACCGCTGTTCCAGGTGAGAACCAGGCTCTTCCTGCTGGTGTCTCACTGAGGGCCATGCCCTGTGCCAGGTACAGGGTGCGTGGGACCCGGGGGATACGAAGGCCCATAGGCCTTATCCCTGGTGTGAGCACAATGAGCTGTGTTGGGGATGCATGGCGCCTGCCTGGGAGAGACGTCCCTGCTGGCTGGGCCAGACTGCCTGGTGGAGCCACAGTTTTCCGCGAGCCAGGACTGTTGGGCAGCCCTGCTGCATGTGACTGCTCCCCAAGCCTGTGTTAAGCCAGCAGTCCTGAGACTGACTGAGCACCGGTGTTCCCCCAACTGTTGCACAAGGGTTCACTGGCCTCAGGACATGGCCATGGTCAGCCTCTGCTGTGGCTGTCTGGCTCTTGGAATCCAAGGGGGAATTTACCACAAAGTAGTTAAAGTGTCAGATGATTGCTGTTGTTTCTTATACATTTTTTTCATTTTTAAAAGTAGCATTTTTACCTGGTTTAAAAGTAATAAATTACATATTTTAATAAATGAGGAAGGGTAGAGACTTAGACAGGAGAAAACCACCACTTGATATAGCCAGCATACCATGGTGCTGTGTCAAAAGCTGACTCATGGAACACTGCAGACGTGCACACGCCACCCGCGTTTCAGGTAGGCAGCGGTGGCCGCACCGCCCTGGTTGTTCTAAGAAGACAGAGAGGCCGGTGTGTCTGTTAGAGATGAAAGGCATGCGATCAGCTTCACTGAGTGCATCCTGCCCACTGCACCCCCTCCACACGCACACACACAGATCACTTCACGCCTTTGCCTCACATGTGGGCGGCAGGCGTGCTCACTGCCCCCAGAGTGTCTCTGCTGCCGGCGTCTCCTGTGCACAGAGTTAGAGACAGTGTATGTGCATTCCACACACCCAATTGTCTACACCACACACACATCTGTGCATGCAGGTTTCATACACCCTGAACTCACACCGAGGCCCAGCATCTTGCCTTCCTGCGTTCCATGTTTGCACCCTTCCTCTCAGCACACCCACTCACATGCCTTGTCCTGCCACAGATAAAAGAGGTTTGTTTTTAAGATTATTTATTTATTTATTTATTTGATAAATGAGTCACAGTGTCCATTTGCTGGTTCACTCCCCAAGTGTCCGCCCAAGCCAGGGCTGAGCCAGGCTTGAAGACAGGAGTTCTGTCTGGATCTCCCACATGGGTGGCAGAGGCCCAAACACTTGGGCCATCTTCTACTGTATTCTTAGGCACATGGGCAGGCAGCTGGATTGGAAGTGGAGCAGCCAGGATGCAAACCAGCAGCTATATGGGATGCTGGTGTTGTAGGCAGTGGCTTTACCTGCTACGCCCCAATGCCGGCCCTGGATCTGAGAGTTTGAGGGTTGCCTTGACTGCAAACTGTGGAAAGCGGAACCCCACAAACAGGGCAGGACTCTCTGTGTCTTGAGTTCTTTAATTTATCTCAGCAGGTTTCTGTAGCTGTGATGAGATCTTGCACGTTATTCGTTAGATTTACTCCAAGATAGTTGGAATTTTTGGTGTCTTGTTAATTTTTTTAAACATTTTATTTTCCAATAGTTGACTGGTGATTGTTGACATCTTTTAGATTGTGGGAGACCAGGAGGAAGCTTCTGGATCCTGGCTTTGGCCTGGCCCAGCCCCGGCCATTGCAGCCATTAGTGGAGTAAACAGTAGATCTCTCTGTCTCTGTTTCCCTCTTGTTTTCAAATAAATATAAGTGTTTCAAAAAAAGATAAATAAAAATTTTCTTTGTGTTCATATTCCCATTTGGTACAAGAAGAAAGCAAAGCAAACATCAGAAACATGGCGGAGAGGACCAAAATCAAGGGCAGCAGCTGTTGATCTGACTGCCCCGTGCGTCACATGTGCATGGTCTCTGCAGTTCTCTGTGGGTTCTAAGAAGCCGCAGCCTTCCACTGCCTTGTTCTGGGCTGCCAGGTGTGTGGTGCAGGCTGGTCCTGCTCACGTTACTCTGTGCCTTGCTGCAGGGGCTGCTGACCAGTGGAGTGGAATTCGAGTCGCGCCCCGCAGCGCTCTCCCTTCCGGCCGAGTCTGGTCTGTACCTGGTGACGCTCGTAGGGGTCCCACAGACGACTGGAACGATCACCGTGAATGGTAAGGGCTTTTCTGATTGCTGCTGATGAGGCGCTGCCACACTGCTGTTCCGTACACCAGGGTCCAGAGCCTCTCACCCATCTCGTTAGTCCTCGTCCATCAAGGGATGGGGAAAGACTGCCTTTCCTTGGGATGTGGTGCAAGTTGTTGGAGTGTGATTGGCACCTGCCAGGCTCCTGCTGCGGTGGGCAGGGCCCCTTCCTGTGCTCTGTCTGCCTCCTCCTCCAGACAGTATTCCAACAGCTTGGTTCCTACCTCTGCATCCTGACCTTTCCTGATGCCACGATGTCCCATGTGCTCTCAGGAAGCCCCTGTCTTCTGCTGGATCTCTTGGGAGAGTTGGCTGTGCACACTGAGTCGCTTCTGCCACCAGTGCCATGTTCCTGCACCCCTCCGCGTCCTGAGTTTAACCCTTATCCCTTCTCCAGGACACCTGTCTGTGGCATCACTAGTGGCGTTTTTCTGCCTAAACCTGGGACCAGTGGTTTGGTTTGCTTGGAGCTTTAGTGCTCATTTGCCACCCTGCATGTGTGGCGAGCTGTGTTCTCCAGCCTCGGTGACACCACACCCTCCAGATTTTCCGCGGTCTCTTTGGCCCTTCTTCCTCAGTCTTGCTGGTCTCGTGCAGGTGTCCCCTTGCAGCCCAGCCCTCTGACAGGTGCTCCTCGCTCTGTGTTTCTTGTCCTCCTCTCTGTCCTCCATACGTCACCGGTGGTGAGGGTGTCCCCAGCCCCACAGTGCTTTTCTGCCTCACAGCCCTGTAGACTGCTGACCACTCCTGGGGTCAGGTACCCTTCCATGGCTTGTGCCCCAGCACTTCCCAGCTATCCCCCTGGTGTCCAGCAGGTGGGACATGCGTGTTCTACACGTCCAACCCAAATGTACTGCCTCCCCTCCCCAAAGCGGTCTCTCCTCTGAGACCCTTCTCTCTCCTCTGAAGGCATCATGGTCAACCAGTGGGAGTCACTTTCCCTCTTCATCAGGCCAAGTTCCCCAGCCCTGTGTGGACCATCTCTGTGCTCCTCTGCCGAGCCTTCCTGCTGGGTTACACATTGTTCCTCTACCTTTGCTGTCTTGCAAGTGCCCTATCCTTTTCCACTTCCTCCACTACCTGTGTGGACTTAGTGGTCCCTGAGCTGTGCATCTCTGTGCAGAGCATTTGGCATTGTTCTTTGGTGTGTCTTGTGCACAAAGCTAGACGGGCTGACCCTGTACTGCTGTGCACAGTAATTGTGGACCCCAAGTCTTTGTCATCAGACTATTATGTGACAGCCATTTTCAGCAACGGTAAGGAAAGGCCTGATTCTAATTAGGGATTATAAAATAGTGGTTGCTCAGCAGGCAAAACATATATCAGGTTCCTGTTGAAAGGGAAATGCGAGAGACCCTGGTTCCAGGTATGGATTTGTGGGGATTTTAGTGTTTTGCCCATTGCAGGGGTGTTTTGACAAGCCCACCCTCTGAGGGAGGGTGAGCTGGAGTGGTGTTGAGAGAGCAGCTCCCAGCCAGCAGGAACCTCAGGAGGACCGAGGAGGCTGCTGGGGCCCCGGGAGCCCTTGAAAGCCATGCTGGCTTCTCCACTGAGCACACCTCAGGCTCACACGAGTGTAGGCAGGTTGTAACCTGAGCCTCGAGCCACTGGGTATGGTTTCATTGTCTTGCACAGTAAATGCTGTTGACAATAAATCAGCTAAATTTCAAAAGCTGTTCTACAGCTTTGCTTAAATAGTTTCAAGTGCTTATCTCACCAGTGGGAAATTTGTTCATCTTAAATGGCAGTGCTCACACACACACAGCCAGTTCGCCCCATCACAAAGCTGCTGCAATAATAATAATTGGCTCTTGAACTTTCGCCTCTGAACAGAAGGTTCTGAAGCATTTTTCAAATACTCATTAAATTACATTATGTCCCGGGAAGGAATATTAACTGCCATCCTCACTGTGGAGATGGATAAATCTGAAAAGCAAGTGAGTCCCGGGCTGAGATGCTGACTACAGGTTGTGCAGAGATTGATGGCTTACAGGAGCTTTCCCATTTGGGTCCAGTCAGCCTGGTGGGATGGGAGTACAGGTGCTGTTGTAACCCCCACCACAAAGGAGGAGCCCGAGGGATGTTGAGGCTGTGAGCAGGGACTGGCAGGTAACGGAGCCAGCACCAGGACCCAGGTCTTCTGCAGGGTTGCCCTTGCTGGTTGGGGACTTCAGCAGTGGACAAGAAGGTGGACACGGGGCATGGAACTTTGCTGGGAGTTGTGACGTCTCTGTTTTCCTGTGTCCCAGGTTACCTCAAGACCGTCTTTGGTGTTGTCAGTGACTGCCTGCTGGACCACCTCCTGGGAATAAAGACCAGCGGCTCTACGGTGGAAGTCATCCCCACTTTGCCAAGACTGCAGATCAGCACCTCCCTGCCCAGGTACCAGGTGAGCACAGGTGTCCAGCCATGGGCAGGAAGCAGCCCTGGGGAGCCTTCCCTCATGAGGCGCGCAGGCTCTGCATACATCCAGAATTCTCAGGCCCAGAATCTGCAGGAGGGGGCCTTCAGAGTCCACAGTAGTTCATCCGTTTTGCCCAGAGCAAATTAGAGCAGTCAAGATCTCCCATACTAAGGCTAGGACCAAATGTGAAATTATTCTTCCAAAAACAGTCAGGATCTTAGGGCATCTAAAAAAATCACTCTTCTCTTTGACAGAATTCTTTTATTTTAGTTTTTTGTTGTTGTTGTTGTTGTTGTTTGACAGGCAGAGTGGACAGTGAGAGAGAGAAAGGTCTTCCTTTGCCGTTGGTTCACCCTCCAATGGCCGGTGCGGCCAGCGCGCTGCAGCCGGCGCACCACACTGATCTGATGGCAGGAGCCAGCTACATATCCTGGTCTCCCATGGGGTGCAGGGCTCAGGTACTTGGGCCATCCTCCACTGCACTCCCTGGCCACAGCAGAGGGCTGGCCTGGAACAGGGGCAACCGGGACAGAATCCAGCGCCCTGACCAGGACTTGAACCCGGTGTGCCAGTGCTGCAAGACAGAGGATTAGCCTAGTGAGCCACAGTGCTGGCCCTTATTTTAGTTTTTAAAGAAATATTTATTTATTTTGAAAGAGTCACAAAGAGAGGGAGAGACACACAGAGTGAGAGCTCTTCCATCCTTTGGTTCACTTTCCAGATGGCCGCAATGGGGAGCGTTGGGCCAGGCTGAAGCCAGGAACCATGAGCTTCATCCAGGTCTCCCATGTGGGCGTGGGATCCAAACACATGGGCTACTTTTCTCAGGCCATTAGCCAGGAGCTTGATTGGAGAAGAGCAGACAGAACCCGAACTGGCACCCAGATGGGATTGTTTTATTTTTGTTTTAGATTTTCAGCATCACAGGGAAGCATAAAGGAGAAAGGGAAGTGGCTGTCGGGAGGCCTGGAGCCAGTCACTGTGAATGCTTGGAGGTACTTCCTGCCACTTTAGAAAACACTTGTCTGAACACGGTGTCATAGATGAGTTTTTGTGAAATCACATTAATAAGCTTTTCCTCACACTTTCACAGAGTCTTAAAAACCTGGTTTTAGTTGCGTTTAAAAAGGACAACCTGAGGATATCTCAGGATTGCATAACTGCCCTTTCCTTGCTGTTGGATTTGGGCCGTTCTCAGTTGTTGCCCTCAGGGGTGACACTTCTTGGACATCCTTTGGCTATTTTTAGGATGTTTGAGATTTTCTAAAAGGTTTTAACTGGTTTGTGTGTCTAATACATGCTTGTTGCTTGCTAGGCAGTGGGCCAGGCACCAGAGCTGAAACCGTGGGCCCAGCATTCTGGGGCCTGGTGCTCAAGGAGGCTGTGTTCAGCAGGAGAGAGGGAGAAGGCAGAACCAGCATGGCCACTGCCCTCCGGTCCCCACTGGTGGCCGTGAGGGGCTGGGAGCAGGAGTTAGCCATGCACAGTGGGCAGCTGGGAGCATTTGTCAGAGGTGGAGAAAGCATCGGGTGATTGGGGAATGCAATGAAATGCAGGAAACATGAATTCTAAAGCAGATCCCAGACCTGACTGTGAGAGCTCAAAGCACCAGCCTTTGAAAAGAAAGCTGGTGAGAGTTTTCACGACCTTGTATTAGCCAAAGAGTTCTTTGACATGTCACCAAAAGCAAGATCCACAAAGAAAAAAACACTGATAAATTGGGCTTCATCAAATTAAAAACTGCTGTGCTTCCAGAAATACCACTAAGAAAATGAACAGACAACTCACAGGCTGGAAGGAAATATTTGTACATCATGTCTCTGGTAAGGATCTGCTACTTAACACCCAAACTAAGAAGGCAAACAACTAAATTAGAAAGGTTGACAGAAGTATGGGCTAGCTCTCTCCCCATGAAAGACTTCCCAGGAGCTAACGAGCAACCTGGAAAGGTGTGTGGCATCATCAATCTTTCTGGAGCTGGTACCGTGTGGGCTTCCTGCTCACACCTGCCAGGGTGGCTGTCGTCAGAAGACAGGCGGTAGCCATGTGTGGTGCTGGAGAAGCCTGCATGCTTGCCATGTTTCCACAAATGTTGAACGTAAATTGACCATATGACTCAGAAATTCGGTGTCTACCCAAGGCCGAGGAAAGCACACAGTGACTCAGAAACTTGTATATGAATGTTCACAGCTGCATTTTTTGTAATAGTCCAGAAAGCAGGCAGAACTTGGATGCCCATTGCCTGGCAAGTGGCTGAACAAAATGTGGCACATTTGTACCTGGGCTGCCGCTGAGCAAGACAGGCAAGCAGGCCCCTGACACAGGAACCAAATATGGCCCATTTACACCCGGGGTGCAGCTGAGCAGTGGAGACGCACTGACGCTTGCTCCCGACACATGCTCCAGCATGGGCACCAAAGGCCAGGATGGCTGCCTTTTATCTCTTACTGAAAAATGGTATAAGACATATTTTTCAAAAGGCCCCCTATTTCTCTGGGCTGGCCATTGTGGTGTAGTGGGTAAAGCTGCTGCCTGCAACACTGGCATCCCATATGGGTGTTGGTTTGTGTCCCGGCTGCTTTCCTTCTAATCTAGCTCCCTGCTATGGCCTGGGAAAGCAACAGCAGATGACCCAAGTGCTTGGGCCCCTGCACCTGCGTGGGAGACCCTGAAGAAGCTCCTGGCTCCGGCTTTGGTCTGGCCCAGCCCTGGCCTTTGCAACCATTTGGGAAGTGAGCCAGTGGATGGAAGTGTGCTTTCTCTCTCTCTGTAATTCTGCCTTTTACATAAATAAATAAATAAATGTTTTTTTCAAGTGACTCTTGAGTAATTAGGTGTTGATTGTAACTAATCTGCTATAAAGGTCCCTGTGACTGGTGAAATCCACTCACCAGCATCTGTGAACACCACCTTGTGCTCCAGGACCCTGACCTAGGCCATGACCCTTTAGAAGAGCTCCCTGTCGGGGGGATGGGGGGTTTAGGGGGTTGGTGTGATCATTAGGATTTGCTGACTGCTCCTGTAATGTGAACCAGAGGAGGGGATGCTGACCCTATCTTGTGGGGTTCAGGAAGGCTCCATAGAAAGTGTGGGATTTACAAAGCATGGTCAAACACAGACCGTAAAGAAGGGAGTGAAATACGACTGAGAACAGCAGGATGGGACACATGCAGAGCCCTGGAGAGGCAGCTCCCCAGAGACAGAAGTGAGCTCAGCGCATGGCACAGTGGACACAGGCCTCCCTGTGGGTCAGTCACGCAAAAGAGAATAACCCTGTGGGCATTGGGGGGCCACAGAGCCTGGCAGGAGGAATGATGCTAGGCCCGTGGCCTGATGGCTTGTGTGTGGGCACAATGGGGCTGTGCCTTCCTTCCAGTCTCTTTTTTTAAGACTTATTTATTTTTATTTGAAAGGCAGAGTTACAGAGAAACACACACACACACACACACACACACACACACACACAGACACACACCTGGAGAAAGAGAGAGAGAGAGAGAGAGAGAGAGAGAGAGAGAGAGAGAGAGAGGTCTCATCTGTGGGTTCACTCCCCAAATGGCCACAAAGGCCAGGTTGAAGCCAGGAACCAGGAGCTTCATTTTGGTCTCCTATGTGGGTGGCAGGAGTTCAGATACTTGGACCATCTCCCACTGTTTATCCAGGTGTATTAGCAGGGAGCTGGATTGGAAGTGGAGCAGCTGGGACTTGAACAGGCACCCATTAAGAGATACTAGTGCTGCATGCAGAGACTTCACCTGCTACACCACAACACCAGCCCCTGCATTCCACACCTTGAGAGATGCTGCACCAGGCCAGGCATCAAGCAAGCAGCCGCTGAACACACAGTGGTCACTCTGTCCTGGGCTCAGGCAGACACTGACAAGATGCTCTTATATGCCACACAGGAGGTTCAGAGTTGAGGTGCTTATCAGTCTGTTCAGTGCATTCTTGGTGAGTACCTATTAGACACTAGGTGTATGGCAAGGAGCTGATAGCAAACAGACAGAAACATCGTTCCTGCCTTGGGAAGGCTCTGGGGCCAGCACAGGGCTGAGGAGGACAGTGCTGCTGGTGGGAGCTGGGTCCCAGTGCCATGTCCCGAGTGTGCCTTTGCAGCAGTGCCAGCTGCAGTCTCACTCTGACGCCGTTCCTCGTGGCTCCGGGGCTCCTGCACTGTGGGTGCCTCCTTCCGCCCCTGTCCCTTGCAGCACAGAGGGCCTGGACACCCTGCTGTGTGAGACAGCCAGTGATTAGTCCTGGCTGAGTTTTGTTACCTCCTGAAACCTTCCCCTAGGAGCAACTGATGTGCAAGCTGCACAGGGGTCATGCAGGGAGGTTGTGCATCGGCTTTCCTTCCCTGACCTAGGAGTGAGGAACGCTGTTACAGATGGCACATAGGAAATTGCCTCAACCTGTTGTGCTGTTTTTTTTCTCAGGATTTGGTTTGGGAAAAAACATTGCCTCTGATCGGAGCCTGGAGCCGAGGCGCGTCATATGCCTGACTTACAGAACCTGACTTGTTCTTAGCATGGTTGGCTCCCGAATTTCTCATTCAAAGCCAAGATTCTCTAGCTCCTATTTCTGAAATGCCAAAATGTGGTCGTCCTTTTACCTGATGTGAATCAGTTTTTTTTTTTTTTTTAATTTAGTATTTGAACGGCAGGGAGAGAGAGAGAGAGAGAGAGAGAGCAAGCAAATTGATCTTCCATTTGCTGGTTCACTCCCCAAATGACTGGAGCTGGGACCAAGACAAAGCCAGGAACCAGGAGCTTCTTCTGGGTCTCCCACATGGGTGCAGGGGCCCAAGCACTTGGGTCGTTTTCCCCTGCTTTCCCAGGCACATTAGCAGAGAGCTGGATTGGAAGTGGAGCAGCTGGGATTTGAATTGGCACTCATGGGATGCTGGTGCTGCAGGCAGCGGCTTTACCCACTACACCACAGCACCGGCCCCTGATGTGAATCATTCCTGCACAGCGTTGGTTTCTTCCTTCAGTTTATTCTCCCTGCTTTTGGTTTAGATCGGCACACTCATTGCAGCCTTCCTCTGGTGACGAGATATCTACCAACGTGTCTATGCAGCTATTCAATGGAGAGACTCATCAACTCGTCATCACCTTAGAAAACATTGGCCTGGAACCCCTGGAGACACTGCAGGTCACCTCCAAACTGCTCCCCACCAAGGGTAGGTGTGGTCAGTGCGTCAGACCTGGGAAGTTTGCGTTGTTGCCTTGCACAAGTGATATTTTACATAGCTACTATTCAGAAAACCTCAAAGCTTCCTTTAGTTTGGTGCAGTCCTGGTGGGGGTGGAGATCAAACACCACATGCTACAGGCATGAGGCTGACCCCTTCGTGCCCTTGGTCCCCATTACTGGATCTGAACAGGGGTCAGATCCTCAGCAGACTGGTTACTGAGTGGAAGACTGGGAGACAGGAACAGGCCGATCCTGTGGTTCCTGCAGCCCAGGGCCGCCTCCTGATTAAGCACTTGAGGGCTGGACCAGGCTGAAGCCAGGAGCCAGGAACTCCATCCAGGATTCCCATGTGGATAGCTGGGGCCCAAGCACTTGGGCAAACCTCCGAAGGATGCCAGCATTGCAGGAGGCTGCTTAACCCTCGGCACCACAGTGCCAAGCCCAAGGTGTAGCTTTTCCACCTTTCTGGGCTGCTGTTTCCTTTGCTGTTGCTGTGCCTTTGAACTTTTCTGGAACTCAGTCCCATGTCAGCCATCCCTTTCTTTCCTGCCTTTTATCAGGACACTATTCATTGCAGACTTGCAGGAATCCTATCTAAACAATTGTGTGCCTGTTGTGTAGCTTCCATACTTAGCATTTTGCTGCATTTGCCTTGTAACACATCTCTCTGGCGTCCTACCTACACCCCCCACCCCGCCCAGTATCTTGTCTAAAGTTCCGGATTTCAGAAGCACCTGTGAGTGCTTCTGAGCTCAATGTTTTTGATAAAATGCACATGCACTGAAATGTGCAGGTCTAACATGTTCCATCTGATGAGTTTCAATAGATGCTGGCCCATGTCATTGTGTAATCTAAGCCCTCATCAAGATATAATACAGAACATTTCCATCACCCCAGAAAGTTCCCCAGCTTTCTTCCCAGCAAGTCCCAGTGCAACCCCGGGAGCAAACACTCTTGTCTGTCGTCTGTGTGCTGGGCAGCCCCACTGGGTGTTTACTGCTGGTGATGCAGGGTGTGGGTGACTTGCATAGCAACTGGCAGGTGGCAATTGGCAGACGTGCAGCCCAGTCACCTTCTCTTCCCTACCTTGCGTTTAATTTTCCACTGGGTCTTGCCCACACCTGGTCGATCTTAAAAATCTTTAAAGACATTTATTTTCAGGCTGGCACTGTGGTGTAGCTGGTTGAGCCACCGCCTGTGGCACTGATATCCCATGTGTGTGCCAGTTTGTGTCCCAGTTGCTCCACTTCTGATCTAGCTCCCTGCTAGTATGCCTGGGAAAGCAATGGAAGGTGGTCCAAGTGCTTGGGTCCCTGTAGGAGACTTAGAGGAAGCTCCTAGCTTTTGGCTTCTGGCTCCGGCCTGGTCCAGCTCTGACAGTTGGAGCCATGTGGGGAGTGAACCAGCAGATGGAAGAGTTCTCTCTGTGTGTCTTTCTTTCTGTAACTCTGCTTTTCAAATAAAATAAATCTTAATGCAGAGTGGACAGTGAGAGAGAGAGAGACAGAGAGAAAGGTCTTGCTTTGCCCCTGGTTCACCCTCCAATGGCTGCTGCGGATGGTGCGCTGGGGCCAGTGCACTGCGCCGATCCGAAGCCAGGAGCCGGGTGCTTCTCCTGGTCTCCCATGGGGTGCAGGGCCCAAAGACTTGGGCCATCCTCCACTGCACTCCCGGGCCACAGCAGAGAGCTGGACTGGAAGAGGAGCAACTGGGACAGAATCCGGTGCCCTGATCGGGACTAGAACCCGGTGTGCCGGCGCTGCAGGTGGAGGATTGGCCTAGTGAGCCGCGGCACCGGCCAGAAATTTACTTTCGTTTGCCTGAATGGCAGAAAAACAGACAGAGCGAGAAAGATTATCCATAGATTGTTTAACTCCCAAAGGGCCAAAGGCCCTTGTCTCTAGTTAGGCCTAGGATGGCTGGGGTCTATGTTACTCTCCTCCTTTTTATGGACAGGGGAAGTAAAGGCAGAAGAGGTGACTAAGGTCACATAGCAGGTGCACGGGGAACCAGCAGGAGGACCAAAGTCTCCTGATTCTCAGCTTTGGTGTAGTCACCCTCAGGAGGCAGAAGCACCACACACTGCCCGCTGTAGCCATCTCAGAGCAACACAGTTACCAGTGAAAAATTAAAGCCATCATTCTTTCTTTGGTTTCCTCCCAAGCTGCCATACATTTACATGTGGAATTAAATTAATGGAAACAAACCATATGCTTCCAGAATATACAAAGGGAATAATTCCTGGTGCTTTTGCTGTACAAGGCAAGGCTCCCAGTGGTGACAGATGACCGCCAGCACTAGAAACTGGGAACGTGTGCAAGGCTCCTGTGTGAGGCCATGGTGACAGCAGCAGGTTTGCCTGTGGATATTAAAGAGCATCTATTTCCATTCTCGCCTCAGCTTCACCTTGGGCCCACTGAGCACACTGAATGCCTGCTCTGCAGATGGAATGCTTCTCTGGTGCCTGCAACGTTTTCTTTCTTTGTGCCGGTGGTAGAGTTATTTTCTATCTTAAATTAGGAAGAGCTCCCACCCTGGAGCTCATTTCATGCACCAGGTGTGAGGCACTTGACATTCTTTTTCAATATGAAGTTGTCCCAGTGACCACAGGAGGGTTATCGGGGTGGGTGCTCTGGTAATCTGTTTATTTCACTGTGACATCCCCTGTGCCTGAGAACCCAGAGCAGTGCTTGTCACTTAGCAGGTGCTGCACAGGTGTCAACCCTGGTTCTCCCCTCCTGGGGCCATCCTGAGGATGCAGGACACAGGGGGACAGTACTAGGCACCGAAGTGCTGGACCCAAGCTTGCTTTGGCAGTGGCGGTGCTTGGTGCACCCTCCTCTCTGCAGGACTGCGTTTGTGGTCTCAGTGCCTGTTGCCGCTGAACCTGCCGGCACCCTGTGTCCTTTCCTGCTCCTGCCTGACTGCTGGGAGGCACTGAGGGTCCCAGCAGGGCCCCCACAGCCCCTTAACGCGTCTGCACTCACCCTGAATAACCCCCCGTTCTTCAGATACCAACCTCAGAGAAAGAAAAGTATCCTGTTCTGTTATCCCCCCTTCCATCTTCCTTGCTTTCCTGACCTATTTTACTACAAAAAAAATTGTTTAATTTTTTTTGAAAGTCAGAGACAAGAGAGGTTAAGGCAGACAGAGAAGGAGAGACAGAGAGATCCCATCTGTTTCCTTTGCTTGGAGAAGGATTTTCTTGTATGCAATCTCATATGTCTGTTTTTTACTTTTGCCACCCACGCCTTTGGGGTCACATCCAAGAAATTACTGCTCAGATCGATGCCAAGGACCTTTCCCTCTGCTTTCCTCTAGTCGTTTTAGAGTTTTGGGTCTTATGGTTAAGAATTTATTTACTTACTGGGATATGTGTTTATGTATGTGTGAATGTGTACATATATAGATATCAAGTCTCTAGCACAAACCACTATCACAGGCATTTAATTTTAATTTATTTTCATCTTATTTGAAAGGCAAAGGAGGCTGAGAGAGAGGAAAAAAAGAGAGAGAGAGGAGAGGGATCTCCCATTTTCTAGTTGACTCCCAGAAAACCTTCATAATATGGAAAAGTCTTATGCTACTTCAAAAATCAAAATACAGATTTATAAAATAAATTCAATTTTGTAAAATTTTTTATTATTTTTTAACAGGCAGAATTAGACAGTGAGAGAGGGAGAGGCAGAGAGAAAGGTCTTGCTTCCATTGGTTCACCCCCTAAATGGCGGCTGCAGCTGCTCTGGCAGGAGCCAGATGCTTCCTCCTGGTCTCCCATGCGGGTGCAGGGCCCAAGCACTTGGGCCATCCTCCATTGCCCTCCTGGGCCACAGCAGAGAGCTGGACTGGAAGAGGTGCAACCAGGACAGAATCCGGCACCCCAAACATGACTAGAACCTGGGGTGCTGGTGCTGCAGGCAGGCAGATTATCCAAGTGAGCTGCGGTGCCAGCCAATAAATTCAATTTTTAAAATCAATCCAATTTTTAAAAAGAATATACAGTACTAAATAAACACATAGAATGTTAAGTGTGCCTGTCTATGCACAGTTAGGATGCAGGATGAGGAATTATTTTTTTACTATCCATTTATATTTTTCAAGATTTCTAAAAGGAACATACATAATTTGTAAGCTAAAATTTATCACTGAAATGCTTTCAACTGTGGCAGGCACTGTGGTGCAGCAGGTTAGGCTGCAGCTTAGGACACCCACATCCCACACTGGAGAGTCTGGTTCAGTCTTGGTTGCTCCATGCTACAGATCTAGTTTCCTGCTCATGAGCACCATGGGAGGCAGCAGGTGATGGTTCAAGTGCTTGTGTCCCTGCCACCGACATGGGACACCTGCAAGGAACTCTGGGCTCCTAACTTTGGCCTGGCCCAGCCCTGGCTTTTGCAGGCATTTGTGGAGTAAACCACTGGATGGAAGATTTCTCTCTCTTTTTTCTGTCACTCAGCCTCTTACATAAATAAACAAAATTTTTTAAATGCTTCAACTTGAATTTTCAAAAAGCTTTAACAAAGAAAACTTGGGGCCTGCTACAACCCTCCCTCCGGTTACAGAACCCAGCACCATAAAAGGTCAGAGGTGGACAGAAGCTGCAAGGTGCCTTGGTTTGAATGCTGGGCATTCCTAGACCTGAGATGACCGTGGCAGCAGCGACAGGCATCCAGGACAGTGCAAACTCGGGACACACACAGACACTGCCATCCCTTCTCCACAGATTAGGAAGCCAAGGCTTAGAGACTCACCCCACATCGGGGGTCTGCCACTCCTCCCCCACGTGCCCAGATTTCACTGCACTCCCCCCAGCACGCAGACACTGCCTAAGCAGCCATCATCCTGTGAGGAAGACCCTCCCTGACACCACTCAGCGAGATTCCATCTCTTGAAGAGAAACATCAGTCCTCTAACTCCTGGCTGTCACTCTGCCTGGGTTATTAAACCTTCAGAAAAGACAATGTGAAATCGTTCAGCTCCACACAGA